GGGGCCAGGAGGAGAGGAGGGAGGGGAAACTGTGGTTGAGATGTAATAATAAATAAATAAATAGCCTTAAAAAGCCCATTTCATCATGTCTGATAGACCTCAGAAACGCAGGGCAAATGGCTGAGGTGCCTTTCTGACAGTCAAAGCGAACCTTGGCCAGCTCCTACTGTATTACCCAGGGCCTTCCAGCGCTTCTCATCCTGCTCCCTACCCTAAACCTCCTGCTCCTATGGTGTGGGCTTCCACTACCCTTTCCCCAGCCTGATCCCTCTATAACTCGGCCATTTAGGCTGTACCAGTCTCTCTGGCTCTTGGCCCAGGCCACCTTGGTCTTCTCTCTTCCTCTCCCTTCCCCTCTCTCCTCTATGGTCAGTGAGTCCGCCAGCCGTGTTCAGCTTGGACTCTTCCCTCTGCCCGCTTTCTCCCTCATGTCTATGTTAAAACTCTTCTCCACACTTGAGGAGTGGTCAGGCCCTCTTCCTTTTACTTCATTTTTTTTTTTTTTTATTCAATGTTGTAGTGTACAAAGCCCAATTTCAGGATATGAAATCCCACCAGTCCCCACTCTGGAGAGCTCAGCCCCCCAAGGCACACTACATAAGCCTGCCTCCTGCTCAGTTCCTTGCTGCTTCTCTCCTGAGCAGAGGCAGCCACCCTCATGTGTTTTTCCCAATAAATCTCTTGTGTGAGGTCTGTTGTGTGGTGTGACTTTGTGATAGTCCTTGGTTCCCGACTACCAGGATACCTCTCCCTCAGAGCTGTAACACTTGCCCTGGGGATACATCTCCCCCAGAGCTGTAACACTTGCCCTGGGGATACATCTCTCCCAGAGCTGTAACACTTGCAAACGTCCTGTTTGCTACACAAGCATTGTTATAATACACGTATTACACATGTTTTAAAGTTCCTCCAGTTTGATTAAACCGTCATCATTCCCAGCACACAGTAATTCATATGTACAGAACTAGAATAACTTATTTTCCTGGATTCCGGCCCTGCCTGTCCAGAGGACCCCCAGTAAAGGACAGCACTGGAGATGTTCCTCATCATCTGACATTCTCAAATCACCACTCCCTGGTTACCCCTAGCAACGGCAAACCATGGGCTAAAGGAGGGAATGCTTCCCATTTTCTCCCGGCCATCTTTCTACCCTGTAAGTACCCCAGCCTGTAAGCAGACAGTAGGCTCTGGTTCTTATGCCATAGGTCCTTTCTGCAGGCTTTCCCCACCCCCCAGTGAACACCTGTGCTACTTCTGAGTCAATCATTTCCTTGTCTGTCTGTCTTTCCTTCTTCCTCTGGGTGGTCTCTACAGGGAGGCAGGAGGCAGGCTGTTCAATGGAGTCCCCTTCACTCCCATTTTCCCTCCAAGTCCCCTCACCTACCCTGCCCCCTCAAGTGTCACCAACAGGGGCCATCCCCATTGCCGATGATTTGACTTTGAATACGTTTTGATTTTTTTTTTTTAACCTCTGAAGCTCTTCCTTTCTACTTCCCAGTAGGTGGACACCCGAGAAGCCCTGGCACTGGGTGGAGTGTTTTCCTGTATCACACTGTTGATCTCCCCTCTCTCCCAAGGATCTCTGAAGATGTCCCTCTTTTGGAGGATACCCAAAGCAGGATCCAAGCAGGGCTGGACCAAGCAGGGTTACTAAGGAAAGAGAACACTATTCCCGTTGCTTTGGGTTTTGTTGGGAAAATTTCCTTCATAACTTCTCAAGGCTGTTTGGGTGAGCAGTCATCTAAACAGCCTGGAGACTAGCCATTGACATGTTTCCTCAAAAATCTATCAGCTTTGGAACTAAAATGCCTTATTAAGACACAATGCCTCCTCATTCCACTATAAAACAATCCAGCCGCAGAAACCCAGCAACAATGTCCACCTCGGGTCACTGGACCACATCTACAACTTCCAAATTCAAAAGAAATTCCCGTTAATGCAAAGGAATGTGACCTGGTTTCCTGTATATAAGCTCTCATCTCTTCCCACAGCTATCCTTCTCTTTGCTCATCCTGCTCCAACAGGTTCCTCCTGGCTAGTCTGGGGAGCAGTTGCTGCCTCTGGTCGCTTCCTCTCTAGCCATGCCCACTCCCAGCCAATCCCTGCTCCAATCAGATGAGGAGTTCCAGCCAGACTCTCCAGGATGCCCAGTCTAATCCCCTTCCCCTCTGAGAGCTTCTGGGACATTTCCCATTTCGGCTGCTTTCCAAGCAGCCCCACCTCCAGGGCTACAAAGCAGAATCAGCGGCCTCACCCACCAGACCTGCCTCCACCCACACTCTGCTCCTTCCCCTTCTGGCTGCCTTGCTGCTAACCTGAAACCAGGCTCTACAATAGTGAGGGTAGGAGACTCAGAGTTCCTCATTCCATAGCGCTAACCCCGAAACTCGCCTTCCCAGTTACGGGTTGTTGTTTTTTTTTTTTGTTATTGTTTTTGTTTTCTTTTGTTTGCTTTGTTTTTTCGAGAGACAGGGTTTCTCTGTGTAGCCCTGGCTGTCCTGGAGCTCACTCTCCTTGAACTCACAGAGATCTCCCTGCCTCTGCCTCCCAAGTGCTGGGATTAAAGCTATGCGCCACCACCACCCACCACCGACCACCCAGTTACAGTTTTAAAAAAGCTAATCATGTTCATTCAGCCCATAGACTTCCAGACTGCTTCACTAGCATGAAAAAATGCCTTCAACCACACCTCTTTCTCTTCCTCCACTTACCCCAGCAAGCTATATACCCATGACCTAAATTTCTAACCTTACCTTGCCTGCCTCCTCTGTGCCCCAGTACAACTCTTAGCCAAGTAGCAAAAGACAAGGTGTTTTTCTAGAAATTAAAAAAAAAAAAAAGTTCAATCAAAGTGCCCCAAATTGGCTCACAGTCATAGGCCTTTGTACAACAGAACTCTGCCCAGATACAAATATTTACAAATATTGCCCTTTGTTCTTGTCAATGGTTAAATGTAATCATGTTATTTCAATGTGTTAATAAATGCTACATGTATGCAAACTGTCTTTATATGTCATAAAACCTATGGCCATTGCTAATCTTATACATAGTTCTATACCTGATTTTAAGATGTGTGTGTGGTAGTGCATGAATTTAATCCTAGCACTTGAGAGACAGAAACAGCCTGGTCTACCTAGTGATGCCATCCAAGGCTACAGAGTGAGACTGTAATGGTGAACATTATGTTTAAAAGCTTTAAATTACTGTACTTAAGAGAACTACAAAACAAAAATGCCTCTAACCTACAAACCCCACTTGTGCAAGGATAGATAACTTCCTGGAATTCTGGGAGCTGTTCTTGTAATTGTCTGATCGCATTCATGTGAGATAACAAACTGCTTGTTTTTGATTCTATAAATAAGCTTGCTTGCTCCTGACTGCAGGTAGACAGGATGTGTGCTTGATTACATATAGAGGGATGTGTGCCTTATTACACATGTTAGTATGTGTTCCTGCCCCTGAATGCATGAAGGCAGGACATAGCCTTGTGAGTTTTGCCTTTATAAATCCCTGTGTAATGTAATTCAGTATTACATCTCAAGAGCACTCTCAGGTACAGTCCTGACTGCATGAGTATCCGGTGCCTGTATCTGAATAAAGCCTCTTCTCTGTTAAAATTTATTCATGGTCAGACTGGTGAATCTTTGAAGGACCCCAAACCCAAAACATTACCCTATCTGAAAAAAAAACAGAAAAAAATGAAACAAATGTGTGCACATGAATGTATACAGAACACACACACACACACACACACACACACACACCACAAACATAAAAAGGTTCATACTCAAAGGCAAATAAAGACACTTTAAAATTTATAGATAATATCAGTATATTTTAAATATAACTTCTATTTTACAGTGTATTTATAATAAAATTTTTTGATACAATATGACTTCCTGAGTTTTCATTTGTTTGTTGAAAGATATAATAGTTATACATATAAAGTATAAACTGCATTTTTGGTTAAAAATGATACTAGAATGCTTTAAATTAAAGATGATTAATGTAAATATTTATTCTGTTTGTTTTTGGAATTAGGCTCCAGAACATGTAGCCCTGGTTGCTCTAGAACTTGGTCAGAATGTAGACCAGCCAGTTTCAAACTCACACAAAAATAATAACAACAGCAAGCAATAATGAGTAATCTGAAGTAAACTTACTCCCTCACACATGGGAGGAACATGAAAACACAGTCCCAGAACAATTCCCTGTTTTAAAGAAACCGAGGTCACAAGACTCTTGTCTTTTCTTGAAGGGTTGTCACAGCACTCAGAAGTCTCCTCACACGACTCCATTCCTGGTCCACTTACTGCATTAGTCAACGTTCTCTCAGAGGAATTGTGTGGTGATATTTTATTTGTGCTGAAATGTGATATTTTATTTGCATGTTAATAAATAAAGTTTGCCTGGAGATCAAAGGTCATAGCAGCCATAAACAGAAGTCAGGTGGTGGTAGCACATGCCCTTAATCCGATCACATGGCAGACAGAGTCTCTGTGTGGTCAAGGACACAGCCAAGCATGGTGACACAGGCCTTTAATCCCACTACCAACCATAGAGGCCTGGAGGTCTGTATAGACAGGCAGTGACAAGAAAGTCATGTGGCTGGGCTTAGAGCCAATGAGAAGGCAGAACAGGAAGGCAATAAAAACGCAGGTTAGACAGGAAGAAGCTCTCTCTTGGGAAGCTACGGCATGGTGGTAAGCTAAGGTTAGTCAGTAGCTCTTTGTTATTTCTCTCATCTCTTCGGCTATTACCCCTGTACTCAGCTCTGTGTTTCTTACTTAATAAGACTGTTTAGAAATTCATCTACAGAACTGAACCTATCAGCTAGAATAAATATATGAGAATACATTACATCAGGTTATGTTAAAATACTAACAACAGCTGACTCAGAGCTGGGAGGCCGGGAACTTGGTGCTTGCTCCGTGTTTGAGTCTGGTGCCTCAGCAATTGGAATCGTCTTCCCACAGTGTCTGTCTCTCACTGAGGAGGCTGACAACCTGGTAGTGCTCAGTCCGTGAAGCTGGCTGGGTGCCTTAGCAGTCCCAATCCAGTACTGAAACCTAGAAGATTCCCGGAGAGCCACGGGTCCTTAGTTCACAATGGCGGTCTGGAAATGCTGGTTATGATGGCAGTGACGGAATCAGCAGCAGCAGCAGCAGCAGGAGGGAGGGCAACTGAGCAAAAGGTAAAAGTTTTCTTTCTATCCTTCCCTTTTAAAAACATTTTTTTTGCCCGGTGGTGGTGGTGGCGGCGGCGGCGGCGCACGCCTTTAACCCCAGCACTCAGGAGGCAGAGGCAGGCGGATCTCTGTGAGTTCGAGGCCAGCCTGGGCTACCGAGAAAGATCCAGGAAAGGCGCAAAGCTACACAGAGAAACCCTGTCTCAGAAAAACAACAAACAAACAAACAAAAAAAAAAACAACCAAACCAAACCAAAAAAACATTTTTAAAAGAAGTATTTGTACTTTGTAATGTATATTAGGGTTTTTCATGTATGTATGATCACCCCGTGTTTGCCTGGTGCCAATGGAGGTTAAAAGAAGGAATCATTTCCCTGGAACTGAAGTTATGGATGCTTGTGAAACCATCATGTGGGTACTGGAAACCAAACCCGTGTCCTCCGCAAGAGAAACCACTGAGCCATCTCTCCAGCCCCTGCCCAGTCATACCAGAAGGCTTAGCCCACATTCAGGGTGGGTCTTTTCTAACTGTCAACAATATACTGTTTTTGTATTCCTGATAACTCTTCTCATGTCTCTCTTTCTAAATAGGTTCTCTATGCCCTGATAGTTGGTTTTTCTGCCAACACAGTAAGCCAGCATCAAGCCAAATTGAAAAAGTAGAACAGGTTTATTTGAGCAAAGCAAGTCCTGGGTGGGTTCTCCAGTCCCAGATTTGGGGAAATCACACACCCAAACTAAAGTAGGGAGGTTAGATGAATAGCTGAAGGAGGCTAGGTGTGATGACGTGTAGCTGCATGCTTCAGGCGGGGACTTGGGCTGCTGGCAACTTCAGGGGAGGAGCTGTGGCGGCTGCCAAGAAGGCAGAACCAGGCTTTTTGGCGCTCTTTCTTTGTTGGAGATTCTCTGAGAGGGTGGGGATTGGAGAGAGAGAGATGGGGGCCTCTCAGACCTTACAGGAGTGAGTGAAGGTACCATCCAAACACTTTACAAGATCTACAAAATCAGACTAAGACCATGCCAAGCACCACCATCTCATTGTTGGTCTTTGCTCAGCTGATGCTGTGACCATCTAATTCCGCATGTCTAGGTCCCCTTGATGGCCCCAATGCATAAGAGTCAACAGGAGTGGTAACCTTGAGTCTTCCAATGCTCCCACTTCAACTGGAAACAGCCATGGAGACTCAATGACTGTCTCCTAAGTACTTTTAGATTCGGCTATTGAACTCACTCGTTCTCTGAAGCTCCACCACCATCGGCTGTGGGCTGCTTGCTGACCTCCACTATTGAACCAGTGTGGTTTTCTGACCCCGAACTTAAAGGCCATGGCTTTTCACCCTGTCTTTTAGCTGCCTAATCCATTGTGTATACCAGAGGCTAAGCTGTTTTAGCCAGGACAAGCAAGGCATGTCAACAGTATCTTTTTCCTCCAAATTTTCCAGTACCAGAGATTGCCCCAAGACCCTACCTGATGAGGATCCCACACTTGTCCAGCAGGAAAGAACATGAGGATCCACTGTGCCCCTTCCTCCTCCTGTGTATAAGGAAAGAACATGAGGATCCACTGTGCCCCTTC